TAATGATGGACATTTGAGTTATCAACGTCTTCCGGAGACTGCTGGAAAAACCAAGTATAATAACATTACTTTTGGACTTGGTATTACTGCATTTATCTGGTAAATCAATTTTCCATACATTAATCCGCTGTCAGCCTCCCTTTCTGATTTGCAGCATTCCTTTTCCATAATGTCTTTTCATCATTCTATTGAGGTGGCTGCTGTCAGTAAATCCCAATTCCCATGCAATTTCTTTGATGGAAGTAGTGGTATAAACTACCCGGGATTGTGCAATTTTAAGCCTGGACTTCAATACATAATCCTGAAAACTCTCTCCTGAATTTCGTCTGAAATATTCACTAAAATAAGTTGTCGAAATGCCAAAGTGCTCAGAAAGATAATCCACAGTAATCTTATCCTTATTGGTAATGTGGAAATTAACAAAGCTCAAAAGAGCTGTAAATTTAGAATCACTGCTCATCTTCCCATCTAAAACTCTTTTTTGAGCATTACGGGAAATGATTGCCAGAATAGATACCAGTGTCGTTCTTATAATAAAGGCAGAACAAATGTCCATTCGTTCATATTCATAAAGCACGGCATCGAGTAATTTTTTAACTTGAGCTCTATCTCCTAAATCCTGGATAAGCTCACCAGGATGATGGTGATGATTAGCTAGAATAAAATTTAAGCGGCTAAACCATGAACTATAATCCACCTGGTCATTTAATAAAGGAACAAAATAACTGCTTGTAAAACGTATAAATAGGAAACGTGCAGATTCTTCAATCACATATTTATAACATTTTGCAGCAGGCAGCAGATGAATATCATTTTCATGAAATGGCAGCTTAATATGATTTACACTTTGTAACCCTTTTCCTTCTAAAACATAGACCAGTTCGAAAAAATTGTTAGTCCTGCTCCTCTCCTGCCATTCTGCATAATTGGCGATCTCTATCGCAAAACTGTCATGTAGAAAATCCATGCTATAAAACTAGCCATTCATTTACGTTTTAAAGCAAGATCCAATGATATTACTGTTTTTTCAATCTTGTTTACCATTTTCAGAAAGGCCGTCGTTCTACTTTTGCTATATAAAAAGATCAAATGAATTATCAGGAAATATCAAAAGAAACTATAGGCTATTTATATAAATCTCATCAAAGTATAAGGAAATCGGAAATAGAAGTCCAATTGATTATTCTGGCAGAATTATATGTCTCACAATTAAATGGCTGCGCGTATTGCTGTAGTTTTCACTCGAATGAATTGCGTGAGTCAGGTATGGCGCAAAATATTATTGATCAGCTGCCTGGCTGGAAACATGCATCAGTTTTTGACAACAAGCAGAAATTGGTACTTCAATGGGCTGAATCAATTACCAGGATGCAGCCTGATCTTCAGGAATTAAAATCCCGGCTGGAGGTTCATTTCAGTGAAAAAGAATTCGTAGAGCTTACCGCCAGCATTTCACTCATGAATGCATTGAACCGTCTTAGGATTACACTCGGAGACCAGCATTAAGTATTATAAATCAGTATTCAAGGTGCCGGTCTGGTACCTTGAATACTGATAGATTAGTTTATTCTCTAACCAGCACATCATGTGCTCCACCTTCTACGATGCTCACAGAAGAAACCAAGGTAAGTTTCGCATCTTCTTTAAACTTCGCAATGCTGGTAAAGCCGCAGCTGCACATGGTTGATTTTATTTTTCCAACAGTAACATCTAAATTATCTTTTAAAGATCCGGCATAAGGAACATAACTATCAACACCTTCTTCAAACTTTAGTCCTGTAGAACCGCCCATATCATAACGTTCCCAGTTTCTGGCGCGGTTAGAGCCTTCACCCCAGTATTCTTTCATGTAATTACCACCAACTAATACTTTATGTGTAGGACTTTCATCAAATCTTGCAAAATACCTTCCCATCATGATAAAATCAGCTCCCATAGCCAGTGCAATTGCCATATGGTAATCCTGAGCTATTCCACCATCCGAACAGATTGGAATGTAGATCCCTGTTTCTTCGAAATATTGATCTCTTGCTTCAGCAATTTCAATTAAAGCAGTTGCTTGTCCTCTGCCTATTCCTTTTGTTTCTCTGGTGATACAGATCGAACCACCTCCAACGCCAACTTTCACAAAATCAGCACCTGCTTCAACAAGGTATAAAAACCCTTCTTTGTCAACCACATTTCCGGCACCAACTTTTACACGGTCACCATATTCTGCTTTAATGTATTCCAGAGTTGCTTTTTGCCATTCAGAATATCCATCAGATGAATCAATACATAAAACATCTACACCGGCATTAACCAATGCAGGAACTCTGTCTTTGTAATCTCTGGTGTTGATCCCAGCGCCTACAATTAGTTTTTTAGTCTCATCAGATAGTTCTAAAGGATTGTCTTTATGGTTATCATAATCTTTTCTGAAAACAAAGAACTTGAAGTTATTATCTTCATCGACTACAGGAAGGCTGTTTAACTTATGTTCCCAGATGATACTGTTGGCTTCGCTCAAAGTAATGCCCACTTTTGCAGTAATCAGTTTTGAAAAAGGAGTCATAAATTCTTTGACTTTCTTATCCATCAGATCTGTACCAATTCTATAATCTCTGCTGGTAACAATGCCGGCAAGCTTACCATTGGCTGTACCATTATCAGTGATAGCAATGGTAGAGTGACCCGTTTTCGCTTTTAAAGCAATAACGTCTTTTAATGTATTTTCTGCGATCAGATTAGCTGTACTAATAACGAAGCCAGATTTATGCTGTTTGACCTTTTCAATCATTTCTACTTGCTTTTGGATAGTTTGAGATCCAAATACAAATGATAAGCCGCCATTTTTTGCCAAAGCAATAGCCATCTGATCATCAG